TGACAGTAAGCCGACTCGTATGCGCTGGGGGGCCAACCAACGGGTTTTAACCCGCGCATGCGCGCTGCGTGCCCGGTCGGGTTCCCCCTTCTCACGAGGCTCCCGGCCCGCTCGTGGCTGACGCGCGCAGCCCGCCCCGGACAAGCGGGATGTCAAGAGGATGCAGGAGGAAGCAAGATAGAGGATGAGAGAGTCGGATGATCAGTCACGGGCCATTTTGTGTGCTACATAATGCAGGACTATGGGCGTAGGAATTACTTATGGCGGAAATGAGACCGGGAATCGAGTGCCGGAGTATAGAGCCGTAAACGACTATGTGAATGAAAGCAAAACAGATAAAAATACACGGGCAAATGTGACAGAAGACGACGACGAAATGCCATATCACGCACACATGACATTTGGGTTCTGCAAACACGCTTCGATTAACCTGTCACTTCTCGACCAGCTGTATTTCTACAAATAAGTCAGCCGTCCGCCACGGCAGCCATTTTGCACGGCCAGGCAGCGACGCTGTGACGCTGCGATGCAAGCGTTCGATGGCGCAAATGACGACACATTGAAGGTTACGTATACTAGATAGCCAACCTTTTTTGTCTAGGGCAGCCTTTTGCACTTGGAAGCACGCCAACAGTTACAAGAGAGCCAATTTCATCGAATCTGATGTCTGCCTCTGTACCTTCACACGTGGAACATTCCCTTTAATTCCAGGCCTGTGTGCGGAATATTGTATGCATACACAAAAATCCAATTTGGTGCTGAAATTTAACCAATGTTTTTTCCTTGTGCGCAGCTATCTGCTCCCTGCCAGCGGAAGCCGGTCCTTGCAAAGCTGCTGTCCAGAGATACTTCTACGACGCCAAAGCAACTGAGTGTCGGGGGTTCGTGTATGGCGGCTGTGGAGGAAATGGAAACAACTTTCTGACCAAAGCAACGTGTAGCGATGCATGTGAAAAGAAGAAAGATTAAGTCAAAATTGAGAACAATAAACATGGCGGACTTTTGAAAGCCAAACTGCCCTAGCTTCTTGTCTCTGAGTGCCATGTAATTTAAGCTCTGCTGACCGGGAAAAAGACATCGATAGAATGGTTTATGTCACACACCGGGGGCAACTATTTCTCTTATGTGAACCCTGCATAACGAGTAATGGACGCCGAGAGTTTGCCGATACACCGTAATAACGATAGGGTTGTCGACTTGTAGCCGTACAATGTTCATTTATTTGTGTATTGCACAAGTGCCATTTCCAATATATCTCGACCTGGCTCTTGCACATAGATGGCGTGGCCGTCGTGGCGGCTCTATAAGATGTCCACCATCACATGACTGGAACATGCAATCGCTTCAAACACGCAGCATACCGTTTCAAGTGATGACTTGCGACGTTTTCGCGAATTGGCCTTCTTTCCATGTCAGGACGTTCCGTGGCTCATGCATGTGTGTCCAAACCTAACCTTCTGTATCACATAAGTATCGTGGCTCATAGCTGATGCCCCTCCAAGTTCTAGGTCAAAGATAGTTGCTTTTAGCTTCCCAGAATTACATAGTGTTTGCATGTGGTGAGCTTTTCTTTGCCGGTATAGGTCTGGAAAGACTCGCCCTAACGTGCTGCCGCCGTGCGAGGCTACAAGCGTGAGCTCAAACTGAACGCGGGCTCGGGTGGGCGACGCCAAATTTCCCCCTGCCCCGAAGTATTTTCCAGAATCATTTTCGTACGGCGCGGTGAAGCCACTCAAAAGCTGGCATAGCTGTAGACAACTGAATAGTGAATGTTTGAATTAATGTAAAAAGTGTCATGCACTTCGTAAGGTCGTTGACATATGGCAGGTCAAAATCAGGCCATGACTGCCAGCGAAGGGCGCTTCTTGGGAATCGTTCATTATGATGTAACAACGGAGTGTTAAGCAAAGCCATGTATATCTGAGATGGCTTCTTAGGCAACAAGCCAACTGAAGTTGCAATAACAACCACTTTCATTGACCTAGGGTCAGGTATAAAGGTCAAAACAAGATTAAAACTAATCTGGTTTTTACTCGAAAGCTTGGTTTTATGGGGTAGCTTTCCGATGTGCATTTCGAATTTGTTGATGACAGGGACCGTAAACAAATATTACATGGAGTTCCTAAAGGTCAGAATAAATCACTGACCTAAACTAACCCGAGTGAACCTTCCGTTTTTAGGAACATATCACCTAGCGTAACTCCTGGTGCTTATTCGAATAGCAAAATAGTGGCAATTTCGAATATATCTGGCAATTACGGCCTTATAAAGGTTAAACAAGGCTGCTGAACTCATTGACCTTTTGGTAAGAACAGTTATCTAGCTTCACGGCGGTTGCATGAAAAGGTCCGGGAACACTTAAGACACCAATGTGGAGTTGATCTTGTCTGACCTTATCCAACTCAAGGCCATAACCTAAGAATCTATGATTTTGACACAAGTGAGTTCACATAAATATTAATCTACCCTGTGAATACGGTGTCTCTAGCAATCTTGGTTTTTGAGATCTCGTTGGGTCAAGTTGACCCTTATCCACATGAGCGAAGGGTGTGTTCAGCCGTCCAACCGGGCGCCTGTTAACACTCATTCAAACGCAAAACTCAAAAGCGGCCTTGTATGATTTTGGTCACCATGGCTGCTCCTTCTTTAGAGGGAATGTGTCATGCGGGAACAAATCATATTGGCACTTGCTAATGGGTGTGGGTCAATACGCGTGGCGTGGTTTCTCAAAATGACTAAGAGGTCTAGAATTCACAATATGATCTACTGCCAGAGCAAAACATTTGACAATTTTTCCCTGTGAAAAATATTTACTCTATGATTGAAAACAGAATACATCATAATCATTTAATGCAATGACAAAGAGTTAGTTGCTTCAAATTTACCACGTTCTAATAATCTGGGTATTTTTGTTATTATGTTTGAATTTATCGATCTTGTTGCTCAGTGCCGGATTCTTTGGCCATTTAACATTGACAAAAACACATCACAGTATGTTCTAAGACAGACCGTTCGCAGAAGAGGCAACAATCATCTCACATCTTTATGTCCTTCTACAGATATCAATTCTCCTACGTCTCTTGCTCCCAGACTACAATCATTGTGTGAACGACACCAGCCTAAATATCCGACCATTTTCAGCATCACTTGCCATAGCATGCACTTGACCCATTTTAGTATCCTTCCTTGCACCATGTACGGAGCCGAGGGGATTGGAAATATCCGTAAGAAACAGCAAGATAGTCGTACGAAACAAAAGCATTGCCACACAACGTTACGCCCATGCCCAGGCTGGATGCCAACAGTGCATTTGGATACATGGGATCCTCTCGTAAAAAAAAATGGAAGGTTTAAACCACTTAGCACGGAAAGCCAAGGAATTAATGAGGGCGAAAATGTGATTTACGACTCTCTATTCGTGTGTTAATGAGGATTTGTTTAGCCATTAGCCCTTGCGCAAGTGGCTAGTATGCAGATAAAATGTCAAGGCGTTCGTGACATAACGGATGAACAGCATGATGTCTTTCTCAGCATGCTGAATACAATAATACGAATACGAAGTG